TATTCTTGACCTGATGAACAACTTAAAAATTTTAAATGCTATCTTATATACTCTTTATGAAGAGGAAAAAACTTATAAAATTTTGAACATAGTAAAAAAATATCTTTAGGAACTTTGTGATAAATATATAAGATTTTATTCATTTAATTTTGTAAAGGCAATTATGTTGGTGAAAATTGTCTCTTATTACCAATGTTTGAAAGAGAATAAAAGACCTAACTTTATTAGTCGCTCTCTTTATATCCATGTGGTAGAGTTACAAGAAGTCAAATATTAATTTTATGGGTGAATATATTTTATAAAAATGAAGTAGACAAATATTTAGTAGAATAATGGAAAGTGATGATGTTAAAGAGTTTGATATACTCATACAATTGAAAGTCAACAGTCTTAGATTTTATATTCTCTCATTGATAATGTGAGATGTATTATAATTTTCATATTTCTAATAGCTTTTAAAATAATATTTCGTAATAGAAGATACATACATAATTAATTTAAGGGTTCTTTAAACATGAAAATATAATATAATTTTTTACTAATTTTTTTTTTTTTTTAAAAAATTAGAAACATATACAAATTGTTACCATTTATGCATTAATTTTTTTTTTATTTTTTTTTTTAAAATATAGATGGGGAAAACACCAATTGGTGCAAAAATTGGCTTTTGAGAACAATTAAAGTAAATGAAGATGAGGATTATAAGGATAAAATGAGAAACTTGAACAAGGTTTTACCGGTACTCATTTATCATATGTGCCATTTGTTTTCTTTTTAACTTCAATTGTACTTATTACTTTTAAAGATTGATCGCATGAGATTCAATAACTTAGTTGAGTCGGCTATTATATTAAAGTGAGTTTAGTAAAATAGATGTTGACGAGGAGGACGTGATGAAAGCTTTCTTTAATTGGATTTTTTTTTTTTTTTTTTTTTTCCTGTAATCTTATTATAATCAGTGCACTTTATTTTATAAATGAAATAATTTTGAACATTAGCGAATGAAAGATTCTATATGACTGGCGGCGGGTTACCAGTTTTATTGGGAAGGCATCGATCGCTCTTGTTTGGATTTTCTTATCTTAAATGTTTTCGTGAAACCAAATTTTTTATAACTTTGTGTAATACCATAAAGGTAGTTGTACAACGAAACCAACGGGGGTTACGGGCGAGTCCATTAGCTCCGCGGCCCGGAAAAAGACTTGTTTTGCGGCACAGATCCTTGATTCAGGTCAAAACGCCCAGTTTCATTTGCGATAGGAAGTAACTTTTTCAAACAGGATAGCCAATCCAAAACGTCCACGTGGCACCATGAGGATGGCGGTTTAAACAGCTCACCAAATCATAAAGACTAGTGGCCTTCCCTTCTCCTATCTGTTGCTGAAAAACAGAGACTTGAAGAAACAACAAGACGAAGAAAAAAGAGGGAGAAGAATTTACATTTTTTCAGCGCATTATTTTCCTCCCTCCGCAAAAAGTCTTCAATCACAGTAATGACGTAAAAACATTTCTCATTTGAAAGTTTCTGTCCAAGGAAACAAGAGAAAAAAGAGTAAAATATGGAGTGCATCGGAGCTCGGAACTTTGCAGCAATGGCCGTCTCCACTTTCCCTACGTGGAGGTCTCGAAGGAGAATACTAAAAGGCGAACAGAGACACCTAAGCAATCGGTGTAGTTGGTGCAAAGTGAAAGCGAGTGGTGTAGGAAGCGAGAGCTGTGTGGTTGTTAAAGAAGATTTTGCAGACGAGGAAGATTATATAAAGGCCGGTGGCTCTGAGCTTCTTTTTGTGCAAATGCAGCAAAACAAGTCTATGGAGAAGCAGTCTAAATTAGCCGATAAGGTCATTCTGTTTCTCTCTCTCTCCCCCCCTGTTAGTTTTCTTGGTTTATGTTGTAAGAAAGTTTTGATGAGTAAACTAATTTGTCACTGTCTTCAAGTTTCTTCATTATCATTCGCTTCCGTCAATTGTAGAAGGTTTATACAGTGTCTTGTTCTGCTCTGTCTATGGAGTTTGTCATGGAACCGAATTACAACTGGTTTCAGGATGTATTATGTTGTTTATGTCGCTCAGTCTTAGTTATTTACTCGAGTGATTTCCGTTTATTGTTTTTTGATTGTACGATGGTGGATTTTATATCCGAATTACGAATTTCGAATTACTTTATGGAAAGCCCGTTGCCTCACCATACTGGATTTATTTCCGAAGATAATAAAGTTATCACAACATAGCATTATGATGACATTGATTGCTAATCAATTTGTTTATCTCACGCTGTTATTTTGCACAATATTACGTTAGTGAGAGTGGAGCCATGGCACCAATGAGGCACCGGGGTAACACCCTTTCTTTGATTTGTTTCACAGTTACCACCCATAGCAGTTGGAGATGATATACTTGATTTGGTGGTTATTGGCTGTGGCCCAGCTGGTCTAGCTTTGGCTGCAGAATCAGCTAAGGTAGGATTAAATGTTGGACTTATTGGTCCAGATCTCCCTTTTACAAATAACTATGGCGTGTGGGAGGACGAATTCAAAGGTATTAGTTTGTTGCCATCAATTATGCGTTTTTTCTTAAATAATATTTTGATTTTATTATTCTTTTTATGTTTTTGAAGTTTTGTTCTTAGTCTGTCCTAGAACTTTTCTATTGATGACATAGAATAAGCTTTGGTTGTGCATAATTTTTCTTTTCTTTAAGAAGGGGATTGGTTGTTCGATTCCCCTAGTTAAGTAAATGTAAGTTAATGCAGTTGTGTATGATGCTATCTTGCTAACATCTTCATGACCTGATGGAAAGACTATCTTCGTTCCTTCTCTAATAGGTTATTATACTTTCAGATCTTGGACTTGAAGGGTGTATAGAGCATGTTTGGCCAGACACGATTGTGTATCTTGACAATGATAATCCTATTATGATTGGGCGTGCTTATGGAAGAGTTAGCCGGCATCTACTTCATGAAGAGTTGTTAAGGAGGTAAGGCTGGCTTAAAATAATGTTTCAGGCTGTTGTTATTTTATACTGTTGCTACATTTCCATTATTAGCTTGTTAACATTGTTGTTTGGATTAGATGTATAATTTATATTAATTTCTGCTAGGTGTCTCGAGTCAGGTGTTTCATATCTTAGCTCGAAAGTGGAAAGAATAGTGGAAGCTGCCGATGGTCATAATCTTGTTGCCTGTGAAGATGATATTTTAATTCCCTGCAGGTACAGTAGGATATTCTATGATCTTCCTTAATGTAGACAATTTGCTTATATTTCCATGACTATATTATATTTGAAGCTTCTAATATGTATTGCTGTAGGCTTGCCACTGTCGCATCTGGAGCAGCTTCAGGGAAACTCTTGCAGTATGAGGTGGGGGGTCCAAGAGTTTCCGTCCAAACTGCATATGGTGTAGAGGTTGAGGTAGGATTCGGATATAATATTCCTTAGTTGTTGGAGAATAAAATATAGGGTATAGGTTCTTGCTCAGCATTCATGATATGGCACATTGATTTGTCCGATAGCGATTGTATTTTTTTTTCTTCTAAATCTTAAAAAAAAGGGAGTTCCATGCTAAACTTTATTTGAAGAAGGTTTGAAGGGCTAGTATGCAGATGATGTATGCTTATAAATTGAACATTTATTCATTCCATAACCATTTTGTGTAGAAAATAAAAATTGTTTTGTTTTCTCCTCGTGTAAGTAGAGATTTTACAAACTCTACTGGACACAACTTTTATTATTTAATTTCATTAGTTTTCTCTCGCAATTTCAGGTGGAAAACAATCCATATGATCCAAAGCTGATGGTTTTCATGGACTACAGAGATTATGTTAATCAAGAAGTTCGATCTTTAGAAGCTCAATATCCAACTTTTCTATATGCAATGCCCATGTCGTCAACTAGAGTCTTCTTTGAGGTTTTCCCAATTGGTTCATCCTCTGTTTGACATCGTTTATTTCCCTGTATTAACAATATGGGAGTCATTGGAGAACATTTTCTGCAGGAAACTTGCTTGGCTTCAAAAGATGCTATGCCTTTCGACTTGTTAAAGAAAAAGCTCCTGTCAAGACTAGAGACAATGGGAATTCGAGTTTTGAAAATCTATGAAGAGGTAATCTTAGTGCAAAAACACCGTGTTTACCTTAGTTCCTTATTTGTATCTGTATTTGCATTTTAAATTAATGACAGCTTTCGCCTTAAAGCCAAAACTGGGGCATTAGACAATATAAACCAGTTATACATTCAGATTCATCCATTTAAACAACCCATTGGTCCAGCAACCTTCATTGAATTTCTTTTCTCATATGATGACCTAGATAGCATGTCACCTATTGATGTGATAGTATACAAACCCCTGTAAGTCAAGAAGGACGTAATTTGAACTTTTATGCTGAAGCCTACAGAAACTGATGCATAAATGTGAAGTTATTATTGTTAGTTCCCAGCCAGTCTCAAGCAATACTTGTGTTTTTAATGGAAAATATAAATATTATAAAGAAGGCACTAAAGGGCTACGACCCCAGAACAAAAGAATTACATCTTTCCAGAATAACAGAAAAGGTTTGTAATGGTTCCGATATACTTCCTGCAACGCATAGATTGATCTTCAAACAAAATACTCAAGATCCAAAACCAATAATCTTCCATGCTACCAAAAAAAAATGGCCAGTGTCCTTTAGCACTCTGTTTTTGCTTTCTTCCAAATGACCAAAATGATAGCCAAAGGAATATGAGTTTCTTTTTGTCTTTGTAGGGGTATTGCCATCCCAAGCCTAAGTTTCTTTAGTCACCGAGCCACTAACTGCCCGAGAGAGGCTGAATCTCATAATCTTCTTGCCTCAAAACATCAATGAAGAAATGACTGGGGGATTCGTTCTCAATGAGGCAAAACAGGCACCACTAATAATGGTTCACTCTCTTTTGGTTAGGTTATGATAGGTGAGAATTTTTCCCAAGCAAAGAAAGTTAAATGTGATGATCCCTTGTTTATTTCAAATTTGTTTCCAAGGAAATCTAGAAGCAACTTTAGTTTGACGAAGGAGATTTAGATAGAAGGATTTAGTAGAGAACTCTGCATTCCTCGAGAGCAGGGTAAATTGGGCTCTCAGATACAGTGGGACCAAGATAACAATAGCCATCATGGGGAATAGTTATAAATGACATTTGAGGGCAGTGACCAAGGTGAGGGTTATTTGAGCGTCTGGAAAGTTCAGGTTCAATTTGAATACAAAAATACAATATCGACCAATTTAAATAAAATTAAATAGTACATGGGAGAATTAAGTAGTTAAACCTTTATTACTATTAGCTGCACTATCTTCAAGTTAATGGACGATAGAGTCACCAGATATCTATATTTAGAACTTACTGAAATGTACCAGGTTCATGCTCTGCCAGTATTTTGACCCTTGCTGGACTGGAAGGTTCTAATTGTGTATTATAACACAGAACGAGCTAGGCACTGTAGATTGAATAGTACATCACTACATTATGAATAATTGATTATCTGCCATTCATTGATTAAGCCTATCCGTTCTTTCTTATCTGTTAAATTCTTATCAGTATTATATTCCAAGAACCTTCCATGCCTATGTGCAGTTGATATTGTACTAGCAAAAAACGTAAGATGTCAAAAACAAATCATTTTAGAAGAGCAGAGTTTCTTTGGATACACGAAATTAAAAAATTAGTCTTCCAATTCTTTATATAGGAATGGTCTTATATTCCAGTTGGTGGTTCTTTGCCAAACACTGAGCAAAAGAATCTTGCTTTTGGTGCTGCTGCTAGCATGGTGCATCCAGCCACAGGTAAGAAAAGAACGATCTAATTCATTCTTCTTTAGTGATTTGGACTTTAGGTGTTCATTTATTTATCCTGTCAACAAACAGGGTACTCAGTTGTTAGATCATTGTCCGAGGCTCCAAAGTATGCTTCAGTAATTGCAAAAATATTGACACAGGATCACTATAAAAGCAAGCTTACCTCTGAAAGGAGTAATACGAACATCTCAATGCAAGGTTTGCTAGCACAATCTTCGAACCTTTATATCTCGCATACTTTAATATTATGAATATACTTCCAGTGGTCAAATCTTTAAAGGTTGCCTGAGGATGACAAATGCATCTTATCTCTTGGTGTGTGTATTTTTGCTGGTAACTTGCATCTTATATCTTGGCGTGTGTCTTGAGTAAAGCACTATCAACTCTATTGGCTAGTATTTCCATTCTTGACAACTCTTGGGAAGTCCCAAAAATTTATAGCCTCAACTTCCTAATGCATCCTCATGTCAGGGTAATTTCTTGGCTCTGCTTCTACTATTTGGCAGATAAAAAAAAAGCTATGATAAGCAGCTCAATCTTTGCATTATTATATATTTCCTTTTGCCTTTAGACTTGATAAATGTTCCGCATTTTTTTTCCTTGGGAAACTTGGAACGAATTTAGCTGAAGCTCAACTTATGTAAATTTAATCTTCTACTACCTGCTTTAAATTCCCATCTTTCACTATTCAGTTGGTCCTTAGGGAGCCCCTTGATCTGGATGCAGATCATCAAGCTAGAAACTTCTTCTTTTATTACAGTTATTTTTTTTTAGGAATTTGATCCTCAAATTTCGTGGTATCCTTATTTTCTAACGTGTGAATGCAAAGTTCTGGATATGGAGTTGAGAAAGTACTTTAATATCAAAGTTTCTTCAAAGAGCTAAATCTCAAACTTATTAGTACTTCAATGTCTACGCAATTTTTGCAACTTGATCAACTTCAGAAGCTGGCGCTTTTCTGTTCAAGAAACATGTTCTACAGTTTTATAATATCAACCTTTCTTTGGTCTCGTACTCTGTTAATTTCTTACTTGGAAGTCCCTCTTACATCTCTGAACACTTAATCTTTATATCTTTGCTTGAAATAAATGCATAAATAACTAGATTTCTGAACTTGAACACAAAGTTGAATTTGTTGTTAGTTTTACTTATGTTCTGAACATTAGTGAAACTAAAAATTGGAGTAATGTTGATCTGTTGATTTTCCTTTGCTCAGTGATGGAGAAATTAAACATAACAACCAACTTTTTCACTTTTTGTTAATAGTTTAAACATACTATATATTGCTGCTGCCAATCCATTTATTCATGATAACCTATTGACGCAAATATTTTTCATTTTTCGCATCTTGTAAACTGAGAAAATGCTTGCTGACTAGCATTTCTAGCTGGAAATAAAACTTGTAAATTTATATTCTAGAGGATGCAGCTTAGAGTGCAGATTCCGTTCCTTGGCCATCAGTTTATCATTTTTATGAAATATCCTTGAAAACAATTTTCAATGATATGAAGTATCATGGTAGATATTAATTGTAATTATTTGAATTTCCTCTCTCTCTCTCTCTCTCTCTCTCTCATTTTCTCTTAAATTTCAGCTTGGAATACTCTTTGGCCACAAGAAAGGAAACGTCAGAGAGCATTTTTCCTCTTTGGACTGGCACTCATAATCCAGCTGGACATTGATGGTATTAGGACATTCTTTCGTACTTTCTTCCACCTACCTGACTGGTATGCTTTAGGTCTTCATCTCTTTTCATTTCTTATGCCAATATCTCATTTGCATATTCAGTGGCTATAGCATAGTCATACTGTCCTGTACTCTTTGCATAGCTTTTGATAATCGGAATATCTTATTTCTTGCTCCAGATACAGAAAATATGTATCATTAATGGTGGAAACTCTAACTGTAATTGTAAATATAGAGCTTTAATTGAAATATTGACTAGGAAGATACATTCAAGAGATAGTAGTTTATCGTGTATGTTTGGAGGAGGTGAAGTTGAATAACTAGTGAAATGCGGAAATTTAAGAAGTGAGAATAGGACAATAAGTGACTAAGGAGCAACATGTGAATTGAATGATACCTTGTGTGCTCCTCTTTTTACTGTCTTCTGTATTTAACTTTCTGTGATTTCATCTCCCCCTTTTTGTTTCATGTAAATTGAATAACATTAGTTTGCTTCTAGATTTCCTTAAAAAAACTTTATATATATATATATATATATATATATGTTTAATACAGGGCTTGGGAATGAGAATCATTGTCCTCAAGTGACACTCATCCTTCAGAAAATAATATACAATCTGGTCCTGAAAGTTGGATAATACTTTGTTTTTCAAATTATATATGGGATGTTATTAGTAGTAACTAGGTGAAAACATAAGAGAAATCTTTTGTTGGCTTGACTGGAGAAAATTGGAACGAAGTTTTATTATTCATTAACATGGATTGGTTGCAACTTGAATGAAAATGACTGATATATTGTGTGGTGTTTTGAAGGATGTGGCAGGGTTTTCTTGGCTCTAGTCTCTCGTCTGCAGACCTCATACTTTTTTCCTTCTATATGTTTATCATAGCACCAAATGATATGAGAATGTGCCTCGTTAAACATCTACTTTCAGATCCTACTGGAGTAACCATGATAAGAACATATCTCACACTATAGCAAATCTCTTTGTTTTATATTTGGAATGGGAGATAATGCAAGATACACGAGGTGGTTGCCCAACCTTGAGATGTCTTGGTTTTTGTGTATATAGAAATTGCAGTCTATATATTCTCTGTTATATCCATAATTTCACTCGTTTCTCATCCCACACTTGATGTGCATGTCTCTACATATATTACTAGCTCTTTTATTTCTGAGTCGAATTTTCATTATTATTATTTTGTTTATTTTAAAACTAGGTAAAATATTACTTATATATTATGAACGAAGTTTTATATGTCAAATATTTAAAATTTAAAAATTAAGTAAGAACAAAATAAAAGATACAGTCATTCCATTT